TCGTCAGTAAAAGCAATGTCATTCCATTCGGTTGTCCATGTCCATCGTTCATCGCACCGTTGCCGGCGCAAACGCCTGTGGTTTTGATTCAATAGTAAACGCAGCAATGAACGCTTTGTGGACATTCCACTCTGCTGCAAACGACGTCAAATGGTACGCACAGACACCAATTGTTGCGCAACAGACCGAATTTCTTGTGATATGATTCATGATGTGGCACAACGATCCATCATTGCCATGTGTGCGCTATGCCTGTGATCACGTGCAGTGGTGCAACGAAGTGGGTGCCATCGGTCTGTCATTTTCTCCTGCATCCAGTGGTTACAGATCGATATCACAGTTGCTTGGTTATGTCCAACAGGATCACCGATTTCTCCGAAGGATAATCCGTAATTCCTATAGGCAACTATTCTTCCTCGGTGGAACTCAGAAATGTGCTCGAAAGACGCTCGTTTTCTTCTGTGTGGCATACTGAAGCTGCTTATGACAGAAAAAAAAACGCACAAAAGAACAATTCCAGTACTTCAAAACGGCCTTCTATTCTCTCTTTATATAGCACTTGTAGATGGTACAACAGGTGCTCGTGATGTGCATCTGCACTAAAATGCTAATCATTTGCATATTTCATCACCGCAAACGCATGGTGCAAATTTTACTTGACTTTGAACACCCCTTCAGAGTGTTGCATTTTGGGTGGCCAGCAGTGTATATCTATTAATACTGATACTATATTTGTCATGTTACTATATTTGTTGCTGAACAGTGTATATACTCATACACATACTTAAACATTGTTTGTATTGTCTTGATTTTCGAATTGTGAAAATATTTTTTCAAACTTACTTAACCGTTATAAAAACTTAACTGCTCCTGTTTTGCATGAATCAGCTCCAGTTTACTTAAACGCGCTTACAAAGAACATAATAAAATATCATCTCGGTGTGATGACATACAGTTGGGAATTATATTGATACGTCATTGAACAGCTTAATCTTAATGTTCTTAGTGAGATGTGAATTGAATTAAATTTCTCACGGTAGCTGTTGAATTACAATATTGAAGCAATTTCTGATAATGAAAAATACTACAATACGTGAGGCTGATGTTAACCTGCAAGTAGAATTTCTTCTTGTCGATGCCACGTGGGTCGCCAGTAACCCACAACCCACCAGCTTTTTTTCTATAAAGAGATCACTTTAACAGATTATATTTCAGGAAAACTAGATCTAACAGTGGCCACTATACAGAGAAACAGTATCTCTGAAAATCTGTTTAGTACATTTTAAACCAATTAAAACTAGTTACTATAGGAAGGTAGCCATGTTACACTGTATATATATTCAGTAAAATCATTTGGATAAAAATAAATGATTCATTAAAAGAATTCAAATTCAGATTTTAATATCAAAAGTAAATTGTTTCCAGAGCCTCTTTGGCCATCGGTCGTTGCGACCGACGTTACCGCTTACCGGGACGTGGACCCAGAGATTGGATTTTAGGAAGTGTGTTCGGGTTGTGAACGGTGTTGTTTATAATTCACGTGAATGGAATCTTTGGTGATTGGATGCGACGAATGTGTCGTTGTTTGTGTGTTTCAGCGTGAGGGATGTTGTTGTTTATGTGCATGGATGTGAATTACTAAACTAGTGTGAGTACGACAGGGGGAATTTAAAAATCCCTTCCCTTGTCCACTTACATCTAGATTAGTAAATTAAATTTAAGGTTTTAGTTTGAATGTTTAGTATGACAAGAGGAAAAACTAAATAAATAAAAAACCTCTTGCCTTCTTATCCTACGTTAGTAAATTGACACTAAAACCTTAAATTTAAATGTTGTTAGTATGACAAGAGGAAAATACAAACGAAAAAACCTCTTATCTTCTTATCCTAGGTTAGTAATATCCTTCAGAAATAGCAAAGGAAAAAATCGTTCTCATCTCTTACGAAGCGATGCTTTTTCCTTTGCATCCTTGCCCACACCGAACGAGAAGATCCCACTCGTTGGAAAAGGGAGGAATGATCGAAACATTCCTCCCCTCCCAGTGCGGCAAAAATGATGTCGTCAACATGGAGACATTTTACTTTTCATTACACGTCCGAATGGCGAAATGTCTCCTCTCCGTTCAACGCGGAACAGAGAATGCTGTCGACATCCACTATTCCTGAAGACGATCCCGTGAAGAAAGAACCCCTTCCGCAATCGATGGAAGAGAGTTCCTCTCCTCGCTCAAAGGAGGAAAAGACCCTCTCTTCATCGATTGCGGAAGGAGAACTTCTTCATTTTCTTGGGCCGCAGCCACCAGCAATACCGCCAGCTTTTCATTCTGTAAAGTAACAAAAAAATATAAATATAAATACTAATGGGATTCGGATATACTTAACGCAGAAAAAGTTCAAGATTATACTTACGACAGAGCTGGCGTTAGATCCTACTGGAAATCGTTAGAACGTTCGAACTCCATTTGCAGTAGAGACAACAAAAGACACGGACCGACCCGGAACGAAGAAACTCTCTTACATGTGATTTGCATTTGTAGGACAGAAAAGTAAAGATACGCCGCACGTAGCGCAGCCATGCGGAAAAGTCATTTGTATTCGATCGCGAGCCCAAGTCGTGACAAGTGTTCCGTTCTACAGCAATTTACCCTAACGTGCGTACAAGCGGTCCGTCACCTAAACGCAACGACGGCACTTAAAAGTGTTTCATGCGAGAGTCGACGGCTGCGGACACACGTGTCCGCAGCCGGGACACAAACGTTTAAGTGGCACAAAGCATTTGCAGAGGGTTACGTAAGTGTGGAAGATGGACTGCACTCAGAAATGATCACATTGTGAAAAGAGACAAACAGCTTAAGAATTCTTTGTGTCCAGCCTGTATAGATAACTGTTAAGTGTATTAGATGTGTTTTAGCTGCTGACAATTTAATTCTCGCAAAGTAAGCCGTTGACAAGCGTTGTAACTAATATATAGATTCAATGGAAAAGTTGGAGGTCAAAGGGCGAAATTTTTGATGTCCAGTTTGTGTCGAAGAAACATCTTCATGCTTCAGAATACGGTCTCCGTTTAACCTTCGGCCCATTCGGTTTCGAGTGTATTTTAGTTAAAATTACGATTTAATCGATTTACACATTTAATCGATTTATTTTGCATTTTAATTGTGGGTTGCCTTTTTTTCACTTTGCATGTTGTAAAGGCTATGGCGTTTGTCTTCTCTGGATTAAATTTAAGTTTGTTTGCATTTCCCCATTTCTTTATTTTATCCAGTATATTTTTGCATTTTATTTCTATTTGTTTTCTGCTTTTTGCCGAACAGATGACCATTATATTGTCAGCAAAAGCTGTTATTTTTGATTCTGATAATGTGTTGATTTTCAAGAGATCATTTAATATAATTGACCAAAAAATGAGTCCAGAACAGGATCCCTGTGGACATCCCATAGTCATGTCCCTTTCCATTTTTATGTCTGCGTATTCTATGTATGCCTTTCTGTTTGTTAGATAATCACATACAATGCGATACAAATTGTTTGGGAAATTTGCTTCCTCTAATTTAGCATGGATTAGTGACCACCATGCGTTATCAAAAGCACCTTCTATATCAAGACTGAGAGCAATTGTCCAGTTGTTATTTTTCCTCCCTTCTTCGATATCTTTAATTACTTTTGATATAGATAGCATCCTCCGCTGAACGTCCTTCTTGAAACCCGTATTGATTTTCGTAAAACCATTTGTTTGAATTTAGCCAAGTTGTAAGACGATATACTATTAATTTATCCAAAACTTTTCCCAGAACAGGAAGGAGAGAGATTGGTCTATAACTTCTTACTTCTTTTCGATCTTTGTTTTTACCCTTATAGATTGGTAAGATTTTCGCAATTTTCCATTCAGCTGGGAAAACCGCAAATTTTAAACAAGTGTTATATAATTCGTATAGAAAATCTGGCTCTCTGTTATTTATTTGTTTTACAATTTCTATTGTAATTAGATCATGTCCTGGGGCTTTCCCTTGTTTAAAGTTCGATATTATCCAAGATATCTCTTCCTTTGAGAATAACGGAACATTTTCACCACTTGTTTTGTATTGTAATCTTTCTCTTAACTTTTTTTGCTCTCTGTTGTCTTTATTTTTGTCATCTATTTTAACGAATTCCGTAAGTAATAATTTTAAGCTCTCTTCTGCTGTAGCGGAGGAGAGTTTAAACAATAATATATTTAAACAATAATAGGTTATTAAATTACACTTCTAGACCACAACATAAGTTAATTTATTTATTTAGCGTATGGCTACACATCTAATTGTTAACAAGAACAGAAAGCAGAAAAAGTAAGAACACAAATCATAAATGTAAATATAAGTTAGAAATATAGTTTAAAGCACTTTCAGTCATAATCAGGAAGTCACTCAGTTGTCCCGGANGTTATTAAATTACACTTCTAGACCACAACATAAGTTAAGATTAAACTAATTAGCCTAATAAACCTCCAATTTATTATAGCCACATTTATCAAATCAGGGACTGATTAGAGCAAAATAGACAAAACTTTTACAAAAAAAATAGCCTTTAATTAACCACAATCAAATTTTTAGTAGAATGCATTTCAAGCATCTCTGTATGGATGTATTAGGCTGATTTCTTCTCAAATTCATATTATTTCAGCATTTGATGTAATGTTTTAAATTACTTACAGATGAGCTATTTCATGAGCTACCGTTTCAACTCCTTCCATGTACAGTTAATCGTCTATAGAGACGCCAACGTTTTAACATTGCTTACAAACAATGCCTACGTATGCAATGCCTGCGAAAGAAATGTATTTCAACGTATACTGTAATGTACAGTACATATCAATAGAAAGAATAAGAAGTAAATGGGAATTGGTTTACCTTCAACATAAAGTACAACTGTACCATCATCTTGTAACTCGCCCATTTTTCGACTAAATAATATATATTAAAATTAGTCCACTTCAAATCTGTACATACCGATATAATAGAATACTTATGTAACAAGGAGTATGATTATATCAGCATCTTTAGCTAAACCAGTAGCATGATTACAGTAATATTTTTCCATACTTTTAATTAAATCAACAGGATTAAGATTTTGTGCGTGGCCCGGAATTGCACTCTCTTCTATATAAGGTGGTTCTGTTTCTTTCTATAGATGAAAATGAAGGTAAACGAGCGATTATTTATTATGACATTGTCAAAATGCCGGGCTGCAATTTTTATTCACATTTTTTGATTTATTTAATTTAATATAAGCGCTTCCTGTCTCCAATTATCAGTGTCTTGCCTCTGTACATCATACTTTTCCTGGAAACAACAGGTGTCATGCCGGTCATCTTTGTAACTCCAAATAAATGTTTCAATTAAAATCACGTGTCTTCCGGCCTTCACATGACGTTCGTATACTAAATCGGGCCTCGTACCCCCTAGACTTTTTGAATCCAGTATTGCTTTTCGTTTATCTAACACAATTCTCGAGATTAATGAAGCAGAGACAGACAGCCAACAGACAGACAGCGAAACGGTAAGCAGTGAAAATTTATAGCTCAACAGTTTTTAAATTGCAGCCCAGTAAATAAATATAATTAGTGAATTACCGTAAATGGATCAATTCCAAGCAAGCGAATTTTTATTCCCATTTCTAACGTGTCAATTAGGTTTTGAACCTAAATTAAAAAAAGAAAAATCGTAAAAAGTTATAAATTTTAATTCAAAATTAAGCTTCTATGAACTATTTTATTCAATTTAAAAACATTTAGGAATTTATATTTTACCCCAGTGTACATGACAGTTACGTATTCCGTTAGAGCTTTTGTAGTTTCGAATCGTTTGGAATATATTGCTGATATTTTTACGAAAGCTTTGAGAAAAGAAAAGTTCGTCGAATTCAAAAGTTCGATGTTATGTGACTGACTGCAATACATGTAGGCTATAGTAATTTCTTATATATTAAGTACTAGTAATGTCTGAAACATAGGACTACATTTCGACATCTCCAGAGACATCGAAATAAACGGGTGTGTCAAGGAATGTGAATTTCATCCTGTGCTCACCTCAACTTTCAGGGGACGTTAAATCTTCCCGCACTCTGTTTTCCGCGTTCCGCCACGTTCTATAGCACAGAAAGCTTGGTTTGTTTTGCTGTTCTTTCTTAATTTGTTCGTTTATTGAACACAGTTTTTATTTAAAGTAATGTAAAATAAAATACGGTAGTCATCAATCATAAAAACTGATATTGCTGCAGCCAAACTTTATAATATTTAAGCAAGTTAATATGCTATAGGCCAATTTATATGTAATAGATAGTAATTAGATTAGAATGCCTATGTTCATTTCCTTTCTCTTAAATGCTGGTCTAATGACTGAAATATCATATGGCGATGAAACGCCATTTTCGTACCAATATTGCGTGAGTTTTCACGATTTCTATTTCAAAAGTTATTCTTAATATTAGTAATTTGTGTTTTTTAATGTAATTCTGAGAATTGAAACAAAATAAAGGAAAACAACCTGATGATGATCTCATGAAAAGTTGATAGTCTATATATCAACATTCCGATTTAGATTATCAGCTTACGCTTTCTCATCGCTGATAGTGACGCATTTAAACATCTTTCTCTTGGCTTGAATTATTTCTGTGAATTTGCGTTTTTGAATAAAACGAAGAACGGCACATTTTAGTCAGTCGTAGCTCGTTTTTGTAGTCGTTGAGAATTGTTTGTTCCTTTCTTTCCGGTCATTGGAATTTGTGTTATATGCTTCATTTTCATTTCTGATTGAATGTTTCCAACGTGAAAAATATTTGTGATGATTCGTAAAGTGTCGTCCTCAAACCCATCAGAATCTTTAGTAGCAGGCGTAACCCACTTTTTCAGATATTTTCCGACTGTAATCATATTCGGCGTTAAGAAGGCTTTAAAAACATACAAACCGCACAACTGTTGACCAAAAAGGCCAAATAGTGCATTCTCTTCACTAGAAGAAGCCAGTTAACTATTTTACAATTTTATTGAAAAAAAGCCAGACGACAAATATGACTGCATTTGAATAACTTTATTTGTTTTAAATTATTTTTGAATTAAAAAGTAATTTAATGTAATATTTGAAATACACTATTTTCTTTGTCGTTTAAAGCAATAGTTCGTTGAATGTCGATCATATCATTAAATACCAATTACTGAAATCCACAGCTTTCGTATACACACTTAGCTTCTGCTAACCTTTAAGAAGAAATTATGTTATTAAAGTATTTATTTCTAAACTATTCAAATTTAAATAATTAAAATTATTCTTACGATAATGCATATTTAACACAATTCTTCGAGCATTCGGAAAATTTATATCTGTTAAAAAGATTACTTCGATCTCCCATCATATAACCGTCAGTTACTGGGCAATCTAATGCTCCTGGAGTTCCAACAGGCAAACCCACATCCGAACTTTCGCCGTCGTGAAGACTCCCAAGTCTGAAATATTTTTCAATAATTTCTTCTCAAATTCATATTATTTCAGCATTTGATGTAATGTTTTAAATTACTTACAGATGAGCTATTTCATGAGCTACCGTTTCAACTCTTTCCTTGTACCGTGAATCGTCTAGAGAAATGCCAACTTTGTAACATTCGTTACAAACAGTGCCTGTGTATGCAACGCCTGCGAAAGAAATGTATTTGAACGTATACTGTACTGTAAATATAAATAGAAAGAATAAGAAGTAAATGGGAAAAGGTTTACCCTTAGCTACAAATACAACTGTACCATCATCTTGTAACTCGCCCAATTTTCGACTAAATAATATATATTAAAATTAGTTCATTTCAAATCTGTAAATACCGATATAATAGAATACTTACGTAATAAAAAGCATGATTATATCAGCATCTTTAGCTAAACCAGTAGCATGATTACAGTAATATTTTCCCATGCCATCAAGTAAATCATAAGGATTAAAATATTCTGGGTGTCCTGGAATTACACTCTCTTCTATATAAGGTGGTTCTGTATCTTTCTATAGATGAAAATGAAGGTAAACGAGCGATTATTTATTATGACATTGTCAGAATTCTGGGCTGCAATTTTTATTCATATTTTTTATTTATTTAATTTTATATATGCGCTTTCTGTCGCAAATTATCAGTGTCTTGCCTCTGTACATCATACTTTTCCTGGAAACAACAGGTGTCATGCCGGTCATCTTTGTAACTCCAAATAAATGTTTCAATTAAAATCACGTGACTTCCGGAATTCACCGGACGTTCGTATACTTAATCGGGTCTCCTAACCCTAAACTTTTCGAATCCAGTCTCGCTTTTCGTTTATCTAACGCCAGTCTCGAGATTAACGAAGGAGAGACAGACAACCAACAGACAGACAGCGAAACGGTCAGCAGTGAAAATTTATAGCTCTACAGTTTTTTTAAATTGCAGCCCAGTAAATAAATATAATTAGTAGATTACCTTAAATGGATCAATCCCAAGCAAACGAACTTTTATTCCCAATTGTAATGTATCAATTAGGTTTTGAACCTAAATTAATAAAGGAAAAATCGTAAAAAGGTATAAATTTTAATTCAAAATTAAGCTTTTATGAACTATTTTATTTACTTTAAAAACTTTTAGGAATTTATATCTTACCCCAGTATACATGACAGTTACGTATTCCGTTAGAGCTTTTGTAGTTTCGAATCGTTTCGTAAAAGCACTTTCTGTAACAACCAGACATTCCACAACTATGCACTGATCGTCTCTGGCCATTGTTGCAACCTTTTCCATTTCTTCGTTAACATCCATATGCATGACTGAAAACAAGTTCAAAACATTATCGAATTTCAAAAATATTAGCTGCCAACAATTAATAATGTTAAAAGTGTTAAATATATTCACCTGCATCATTCAGAAAGGACTTTTCGTCATTTATAACTTCTACAATCTTATGTGGTATTTGAACATCTTTAACGGTTCTCCCGTTAAAGATGGACGGTCCCAACTCATACGGTTCGATTCTAAATTTTGAATTTACAATTCCTTGCTAAAAGTATAGAAAGAAGTTTAAGAATATATGTAATATTATAGGATATAAAATATCGATTATTATACTAATTACAATCGTGACAGGCCCGTCTTCGTCGATCAAAAGAGCGGCTCCATTAGTGCTGTCTCTGTAAATTCTTCTTTTCAAGTCTTCTACGTCGATCTTAAAGCATTTAAATATTTGATATATAGTTACTATTTTTATCCGAAATATATAATTTTAATTCTAATACTTTGTACAGAATATAATCTTAGAGTAAATGTGATTAACGCATTTCATAAGTGTTTTAAATGGTTACTGGGTTTGGTTGTTGATCAACAATTGCGAAGTTTTTGGCCAATATGTCACCAGCAGGTTCTAATTTCAGTTCTATATCTTCGTTTAGAGCTCGGAATTTGACCGTCTTCACTCCAGATCTGGACGTTTCCACGGATGGAAACACCACGTCTTCTCGACCTGCATTTGCGAATATGAAAGAAAGTTTATCAAAATTTTATTCAACTGTAATTTATTTTCGATTTTCATACTATAAAAACTGACTACAAGCTTACTGTTAAATTATTAATAATAATAGTCTTACCACTTGGAATGGCCGAAGCGATTGCAAAGAGGAAAATAACTGCAAGATAGATCATGGTTGTTTATAGCCGTAGCAATGTTCTCGTACTATTTATAGTGATGGAAATCGACTGAAAAATGCTAATTAGTGTAATTATTTGATTACTCATCCGACGCCTATTGATAGCTGGCACCTGTGTCAAATTTTAACATACTTAATTATTATCTTAGTCATTAAACTGTTATATTTCTTTAAATTTATTTTCTTTATTTATGAAACTAATTCGAAACGTCATAAAATGCATTTCCATTCGCGCCTTATATGCCTTATATAAAGAAATTGTACAAGATGTAATGTGTTGTGCTCAAAGTGACGGATTTACTTTACATCAAGCCTGAAGAAGTCTCCAAGTGTACAGTACAGTACCAATCGTATTAAAGACAATCAAAATCTTTCACAATAAAATTTTAAATAATGTTGAAATTTTTATTCATATTGCTATTTAAAAGAAGAAATTTTAAGTTTAGTTTTTGAATTAATTAAAGCTTAATATAGTAAAATAAAACTTTATTTATATCAATAATAATAGTTACAATCTCTATTATTATAATTTATGATATATAATTTATAATTTATTTAATAATTTTCATTGCAATAAATGCTTTAAATATCAATTTATTTAAAATATTTTCGTCTTTGTTTTCACTTTTTCGGGTAATAAAAATTAAAACTGAAAACGATAAAATTCTAAATTATTCATTTCTTGATTATTTATTACGAAAAGTGGACGCAATAAATTTTATAAAATGTTTTATAGTTTTAATTAACTTAATTTTTTTTTTATTAATAAAGTCGTTTATTATTTTACAAATTCAAAGCTTTAAAATATAATAAAATTGAGAAAATAAAACTCGAAATTCTGTAATTAAATTGTCATAAAAGATTTTAACGTCTTTCAAATTTCGAATCTATAAAATAATTTTATTACTTATGAAAATAATAATATATTTGTTAGAAAAATATTTATATAACGATAAAATTGAGTGAGATTTTAATAAATATTTATATTGTATTATTTTATAAATAATATACTAAAGATAAACTTTAGTTATCAGTTATCGAAAGCACGTTTGTACTGAAAGTTCGTATACAGTTAATCGGGGCCTCCTGCCTCTATGTTTTCCATATCTGTTCTTGACGTTTATCTATTTAGCCCCGTTCTGGAGATTAGGGAAGAACAGACAGACAGCTCGACGAAAGTGGGAATTTATAAATTTACATTTTTTTTTAATTACAGCCGAACGATTAAATAATTTAGTGAATTATAAATATGTGCATATTTAGGTATCTACATACATACGTATATGTAAAGTAGTTGGACCTAATTTGATGTGTTTTTAAGAATAAAGTAATATACGAAATGTAGAAATTGTATAGAATTTTCATAACGTTAACCCAGTTAATCACTGCTTATGTCACATTTTCAACAAAATAATAATCGAAAATTATCATTTATACGTTGTTTATAAAGAAAATAAAATATAAATATTTATTAAAATTTCGTACAGTTTTATCGTTATATAATTATTTTTGTAATAAATATATTATTATTTTTATAAGTAATAAAATTATAGATTCGAAATTTCAAACACGTTAAAACCTTTTCTTTTAATTAATTACAGCATTTTGACTTTTTAATTTTTCAACTTTATTATCTTTGAGTGTTTCGAATTTATGAAATAATAAACGGCTTTAGTAATAAACAGGGAAGTGCGTTAATTAACTGCTATAGAAATTAGTTTATCAGGATTTTATGGGACCGAATACAATTCAGATAAATTATAATAATAAAGATTATAACTATTATTATTGATATAAATAAAGTTTTATTTTACTATATTAAATTTTAATTAATTCAAAAACCAAACTTAAAATTTTTTCTTTTAAATCTCAATATGAATATAAATTTAGACATTATTTAGAATTTTATTGTGAAAGATTTTTGTTTTCTTCAATACGATTGGTACTGAACTGTACTTGGAGGCTTCTTCAGGCTTTGTGTAAAGTTTTTCCGTCACGTTGAGCACAATACATTACATTTACATCTTGCACAATTTCGTTATAAAAGGTATATAAGGCGCGAATGAAAACGCATTTTATGACGTTCTGAATTAGTTTCAGAAATAAAGAAAATAAATTTAAATAAATAAGCAGTTTAATGACTAAGATAATAATTAAGTATGTTAAAATTTGACACAGGGGCAAGCTATCTATAGGCGTCGGATGAGAAATCGCGTAATTACACTAATCAGCATTTTATACTTGATTTCCATCACTATAAATAGTAGGAGACCATTGCCATGGCTATAAACAACCATGATCCATCTTGCAGGTATTTTCCTCTTTGCAATCGCTTCGGCCATTCCAAGTGGTAAGACTATTATTATTAAAAATTTAACAGTAAGCTTATTGTCAATTTTTATAGTATGAAAATTAAAAATTAACCACAGTTTGGATAAACCTTTCAAGACGTTTTCTTAAATTTCTGGTATACAGGTCGAGTAGACGTGGTGTTTCCATCCGTGGAAACGTCCAGGTCTGGAGTGAAGACGGTCAAATTCCGAGCTTCAGATCAAGATATAGAACTGAAACTGCAACCTGCAGGCGAAATATTGGCGAAAAACTTCGTACTCCTGAATGAGAAAAACCAAATAATTCAGTCGGTGAGATATTTGTTACTTTATGGATTAAACACGCTTTAATTATAAGTCTGAATTAATCGGATTAGAACTGAATTCAATACGAAATATACTGAAATTTTATTCGAAATATTTTAAGATTGACGTAGAAGATCTGAAAAGAAAAATTTTCAGAGACAGCGCAACAGGAGCAGCTCTTTTGTTCGACGAAGACGGGCCTGTCACAATTGTAAATATTAAAATTATTAATATTTATATATAAAACATAGATTCTTAAAGTTTTCTGTGCGCTTCTAGCAAGGAATTGTAAATTCAAAGTTGAGAATTGCACCGTATGAATCTGCAAGGACGGTTAAAGACGAAAGAATAGCACACAAAATCGTGGAAGTTACAAGTGACGAAAAATCTTTTTTCAATGACGCAGGTATATAATCAAAACTCTCCATTGTTTGTAGTTCGTAGTCTATTTTATAAATTGAATAACGTTTTAACTATGTTATTAGTTATATCTGTGGATGGTAATAGAATAATGAAAAATGTCACGAGAATGGACAGGAAAGGCAAATGTATAATTGTGGACAATCTCGTTTTAACAGAAAATGCTTTTACGAAACGATTTAAAACTTTAAAAGCTCTAACGGAATACGTAATCGTTATGTATATGGGGGTAGGGTAAATTTCTTTCATTTATTTAAATATGATAATTAAAATGTATGTCATTATTGCCATGAAAATTTAAGTCTGAATTAAAATTTATAATTTGTTTACGAATTATGTACTTTGAATTTAGGTACAAAATCTAATGGATACTTTGGGATTAGGAATAAAAGTTCGTTTGCTGGGAATTACTGCATTTACGGTAAGATTTCGCGCATTATATCCAATAATTAGATATATTTATCGAATTTCATTTCCTATTATAGAAAGAATCGGAACCGTCTTATATCGTACAGAGCGCAATTCCGGGTCACGAACGATATCTACATACCGATAATTTAATTGATAATATGACAGCTTATTATTGTAAAAATGCTACTGGTTTGGCTAAAGATGCTGACATAATTATGCTTATTGTTCGGTAAGTACTACATTATATATATGTACAGAGAGAGAAATTAGGCAGAGACTAACTTCAATAGTTATAATTCAGTCGTAAATTGGGTATCCTTCGAGAAGATAATACCGTTGAGTTTGATGCTTCCGGTAAACATTTTACTATTTACTTCGATACTATTCCGTATTTTATGTTGTCTGATTTTACTTGAATTTGTTTTTCAGGCATTGCACAAGTAGGAACTGTCTGTAATAATTGTGGTAAGGTAGGCATCTCGTTAGACGATTCAAATTATAACGAAAGAGTTGATACAGTAGCTCATGAATTAGCTCATCTGTAAGTGATTTAAAACGTTTCGTTAAATTATGGAAACATTCTGAATTTGAGAGGAGAAATTCATTTTCAGACTTGGAAGCTTACACGATGGCGTGAAGGGTGACAACCCTAACAATCCAGGAAGATCAACGTGCCCTGCAACTGACGGTTATATTATGGGAGATCGAAGTAATGAAGTTAACAAATTTAAATTTTCTAACTGCTCTTCGACGAAAATTTCTAATACATTAAAGTAAGCATAATTTCATTTAACTGTGTTTCAGCATGTTAGAAACAAAAGTACTTTAATAACAAAATGTTTTCTTAAAGGTCACCCAAGGCTTCTTGTGTATTTAAAGACTGCAAATCTTATTAATACAAAATAATATTGTATTTCACATTTAATGGAATATTATTTAAATGATTAAAAGTTAAATGAAGCATAAATTGGACTATAAGTACAATATTTACTTAATTTATAAAATTTGAACTTAAAACATACAGAATAATTACCGTTTTATAAGGTCTAAGATTATTATTCTTATTTTAGTTTTTTTGTCATACACTTCTTCATAAAATTATTATTTGTTCGTTGTACGAAGCACAGGCGGATTTATGGGTAGACATCTTGATTTGGTTTGGTTTATTGCTTACGGCAACTAGACACGTGGGCGATCTGCCGAGGGAGGATGCCTCCCTGAAGGATTTTCTAAGGGAAATTGATCTTTACTTAAGTGTTACAAATGCTAAGAAAGCTCGCAAAACTCCGCGTGTTGGCGAGGTGCGAATCCGCGATCAATTAATTACCAGTGTTCATTGGATTTATCCACTTGGACAGGTGCTTTTAAATACAGATATGCTTCACATAGCACGATAGCTACGTTCTGAAAATGTGCCGTACTATGCGAATCTGTGCTAAACAAAACTATGAACTATTGCAAAACATCGAGTTATATTCCAAAAGTTACCAAACATATATACAATTATTTTTTGTTACCAAGAGAAATACGTTTATTAAAGCAATCGATCATTTATTTCCAATAAATAATTAACTAACAATCACAATTAAAAGTTTTGTATGACGCGTTAATATTAATTTTAGTTAAACAAGAGAGTTTTTTTTTTACGTAGGATCTTCATCTTATGAGCTTTTATGTCCATTTTGATCAGAAATATCAGCAACGCCTTTATTTGGCATTCCTGGCTGTTATATATAGTCGACCCCCCTATAACACGGTAGATACGTTTCGGTTTTTATGAATCTATTTTCTATGAGTCCAGCCAATCACAGTCCGGCACGTATGCAGTTTACGGACTACGGCTGTTTGATACGTTTCTTCCATAAAATTAATCGATTCTAGACTAATTCGACTCAACATTTCCAAAATATGTAACCTATAATTTTTTGGGAATAATCCCAAAAAATTCTTTTATTTCCTTTATAAACAACGTATAAATGATAATTTTCGGTTATTATTTTACTGAAAATGTGACATAAGCAGTGGTTAACTGGGTTAACGTTATGAAAATGCTATACAATTTCTACTTTTCGTATTGTACTTTATTCTTAAAAACACATCAAATTAGGTCCAACTTTACATATATGTATGTATGTATATACCTAAATATGCACATATTTATAATTCACTAAATTATTTAATCGTTCGGTTGTAATTAGAAAAAATTTTATACAGGTAACCCCGTATAACACGGCACTTCTATAGCAGGGATTCACTCTAACACGGTTCGAGAATTGGTACCACCCCCGTAAAACACGGCACTGTTATAGCACGGTTTCACTCTGACACGGTTCGAGAATTGGGTAAAACCCTCCTACAACATGAAATGTAATAAATTTTTACATACTTAAGTAATAATAGTGTGGAGAGCGAAACACCATCTGCCGGCGAGACGACCAGAGCGGGACGAGACGCGACTTCGCGAGAGGAGACGACGGTTGAAGAACGCGCGAAAAGACGAAGGACGAGAAAGAAGTCTTACATTTGTTTTTTTATAATACTCACAATATATTTTTATGTAATTTGTATTCCTTAAAACGTTCCTGTTATCCAAATCTTTCTTATCTCAATTAAAGTTTTTCAAAAGGCAAAGAAAAGTCTCATAGAAGTGGGGGCTCGCCGGGATTGAAATAGGCTTGGATAGGAATAGGCGCGGATGTGGATTAGTCTTAACTCGAAGAGATTTGACGAACAGCGCTTTGGTTTTGTGAGTACTCTGGACTTACGGACATTTCTGTTTTTGTGAGAATTTCGATGTTGGAGAGACCGAATACATCGACATTCCGGAAGGACTTCGACTTACGTTTCGGCAAACCGTGAGTAGTTTTAAAATTCTACTTTTAAGATGGCGACGCTCGTAAAAATTATCGGCGAAACACTAAAGTCGGCCTCGACAAGTTCAATAAGATTGTTGCATCAACTTGTATTCGAAGAGGTTGGAGATAGGAATAACAGAAAAAGATTGAGAACCTTTGGTGGATTCAATTTTCCATCCAAAGAGGACGAAAACTTAAAAAAGAAAGTGCAATATATTAATGAGAACTTTCGATTAAACGACCTAGTTGTTTTGTGCAACTTATTAAATGTTCAATATGACAGTAATAAAGACGAAATCGTCGAAAGGCTTGTTCTTTCTCTTTCTGATTTAAAATCATTACAATCAAATCTGATCTTGGCAGACGTTGATACCGAAGACGAAGATGTATTAGAAGTTCAAACTGTTGTTGATGATCCACCTAGCAATAATTGTCTGCATGTTTCGGATATGACTAAACTTTCCATTAACTTTCATGACGTGAAAAACGTAATCAAACCTTTCGATGGTAGTGAATATTGTTCTATCGATAAATGGCTGGTTGCATTCGAAGACTTTGCTAAAATGATGACTTGGTCTGATTTACATAAATTTATATTTGCAAAACAATCCTTAACAGGGTTAGCGAAATTATTTGTTGAAAGTCAAAGCGGTATTAATTCCTGGGATAAATTGAAATCGGAATTAAAAGCGGAATTTGGCAGTAAATATAACTCAGCGCGATTGCACGGTATGTTGGCTAAACGCCAAATGCTCCCCAATGAATCCGTGCAAGAATATTTCTTTAAAATGCAAGAACTCGCTAGTCGTGGAAAAATTGAGCCTGACGGGTTGATCGAATATGTTATTTCTGGTATACGTGACATACCCAGTAACAAAGCGATGTTATACGGAACAGATAATTTGACAGAATTTCATGAAAAGTTGAGAGTTTATGAGAAGATCCGATCTACGTATTCTCGTTCGTTTCAGTCTAAACCGAATTTACCTACAGAGCATCGAAAACCCCAGCCTTATCGTAATAAGCGTGACAGTAAAACTCTCAAATGTTTTAATTGTAATGAAATTGGTCACATTTCGAGTAATTGCTCGTATAAATCCGAAGGTATTAGATGTTTTAAGTGCAAAAAATTCGGCCATAAAGCTAACGCTTGTCCTCAAAAAGAAGTAAACAAAATGGAACTAAGTCATTTCTCTAGATGTAACAACAAAATTGAAACGGATGTTGAAATCCTAGGTGCAAAAACAAAAGGACTCATCGACACCGGGTCGGACGTAACGATGATACCAAGGCATTTTTATGATAAAGTAGGGACTCCGAAATTAAACTCAGATGGTGCATCTTTAATTGGATTAGATGGGAATAGTATTTCTCCGTTAGGTTTCTTCGAAAGTGAAATAAAGATTGACGAATACTCTCTTCCTGCAAATATTTACGTGGTAGAAGGTGATCTGTGTAATTCTATAATAATAGGAATAGATGTTCTGAATAAACTGAACTTCTCTATAACAAACTACGGATTCAAAGTCATGGGGAAACGAAGTCAAAATACTATTCGTGTTAATTATACTCGAATTTTTGTTCCCGATGGAAAGTCTGCGGCTGAATCAACACTCGTTAGATCAGATGACGCCTCTAGAAAAGAGCAGATGTTCCTTTCGCATTTCACTGAGTGGGGAGAGGGAAACGGTTTTCAAGACACTAAATCACTTGGTGAGCGCCCACCCCTTGTGGTTAGTGACACAAACGATTTCGGCAGAAATAAAAAAGAAAAGTTTACTTCCAAATCTGATACATTTCCGAGTAAGCCTTGCAATGAAAGCAAAAAAATGCAATCAAGTGCAGATATGGGCGGATTAAACCGTTTTAACCATGTTTCGTTCACCGACGACAGGGAGTATGATTTAACTGATCCCTCAGAAGATGAGAACGAAAAAACATGTTTTTTAGGTCAATTGGCAGATGCGACAGATTGTTGTTAGATAGATTTAAGTCACATTCTGGATAGAAAGCAACGACAGAATTTGATGGAATTAATTACAACCTATGAGCCAAATAAGGTTAAGGATATCGGATTGAAGATGCAAATTATTTTAACTGACGAAATTCCCATTAGTCATCGCCCACGTAGAATGTCATTCGAAGAACAAAAAATAGTAAAAGACCAAATCCAAGAATGGTTGGACGGTGGCATAATCAAACCTAGCTGTTCAGATTATGCTGCGCCAATAGTTTTATGCAAAAAGAAAAATGGCAAAATTAGACTGTGCGTGGACTTTAGAAAGTTGAATCCGAAAACGGTCAGAGATCACTTCCCCTTGCCTTTGATTGAGGATGTGATAGATCGTTTGGAACAATCAAAAGTGTTCACGTCACTCGATTTAAAAAATGGATCTTTCCATGTTGACATTGATGAGAAGTGTAGAAAGTATACATCTTTCGTTACACACGAGGGCCAGTATGAATTTCTAAAGGTTCCTTTTGGCTTGTGTAATAGTCCAAGTGTATTCCAACGTTATATTTACCACGTGTTTAGACCATTGTTACATGATAAAACTGTAGTAATTTATATGGATGATATCCTAATACCATCATCAAATGCACAGGAAGGTATAGAAAAATTGAAGCGTGTACTAAAAATAGCTTCAGAATATGGATTGAAACTTAATTTCGAAAAATGTCAATTCTTAAAGAACGAAGTAGAATTTCTCGGCTATGTCATCAGAGACGGAACAATCAGACCTTCTCCGACTAAAACAGCAGCCGTTCAAAAGTTTCCACAACCCAAAACCGTAAAACATGTTCAAAGCTTTCTAGGACTCACGGGTTATTTTAGGAAATTCATTCCCCACTATTCGAAGATAGCGAAACCCTTAAGCGATTTGCTTAGAGATGGCGTAAAATTCAAATTCGCTCCAGAACAACTAGAAGCATTTCAAAAATTGAAGGACATACAATCACAAAGTCCAGTTCTCCATATTTTCAAGCGTGGCGCTCCATTAGAATTACATACGGATGCAAGTTGCCTCGGGTTCGGAGCAGTTCTAATACAACAAGCTGACAACGGAAAGTATTACCCGATTAATTACATGAGTGGGAAAACATCACCTCAGCAAGAAAAATATAACAGTTACGAGTTAGAAGTACTCGCGGTAATTGAGGGCTTGAAAAAATTTCGAAACTATTTGTTGGGTTCCAAATTTAAAATAATTACGGACTGTGCTGCGTTCCAACGAACACTCGGAAAGAAGGAGCTTACTCCAAAATTAGCAAGATGGGGTCTTTATTACTTGACGAATTTGACTATGAAGTTGTCCATAGGAAAGGCAGCCAGATGAAGCATGTGGATGCACTAAGCCGCAATGCAGTTTTACTAATTACGCGTTCTTCCGACGAAATAACAACAAGAATTATTTCTGCACAGGATACTGATGAGGGTATAAAAGCTCTTAAGGATTCAGTGGGAAAAGGAGAGACAAATGATTATGTACTGAAAAATAACGTTTTGTATAAATACGAAAACGGACTAGAACTGTACGTTGTACCCAAATCGATGCAAACTGACATAATCAAACACGTACATCGAAAAGGTCATTTTGCAGCGGCGAAGACGGAGGAT